CGCGGCGCAGCGCGGCAGCCGGGACGGACGAGGCCCCCGGGGAACGCAACGCTCTCGGCCGAGAGCGCGGACGCGCGGCTGTCAAGATGGACTGGGAGCTGCTGACGATGGCGAATCTGCACCTGACCGCGACCGAGCACCGCTACTACGGCGACATATTCATCTACTGCTGCGAGAACGCGGACGGTGACAGCGTACCCGTGATCAAAGTCGCCGAGCTGTTGCGCTCGGCCAATCTGCCGCGGGACGTCACGATGAAGGTAAGGATAGGGTTATGGGGGGGAAAAAACGCGATCCGACGACGTTTCTATGCTATCGGTGCTACGTTGCGATAGAACTCATCTCGATTCGAGAACCTCTCACGTTGAGATGACAGACGTTCGAGATGACAGATGTCAGGATTCGTTTTTAGAGGTTATGTCGTAGTAACTGGACCGATTAATTAATCGGTAGGTGTATCGAGTAAACCTTACATGGCGATCTAGAGCTTTACGAGAATTTTCACATTTCTTTGGATGTATGATAATTTGAATGGAAAATTGATCGTGTTGTCGATGTTATTAGATTGATAGTTGTCATTAGATTGATTTTGAAAAAAGAAAATGAAGAATGATATTGAAACTTAATTATATATTACTACATAGATACATATTTGTTAATATCAAATATTTATTTTTTTTTCATTTTTGTAGATATTGGATATCTGCATGGGAACTAAAGGTAGTACGCATCTAGGCAAGAAACAATTCTATGCGGTGCTGAAACTCATTGCGGTCCATCAGGCTGGTTTGGAAATCTCCAGAGATATAATAACTACATCTTTGGATGTCATTACCCTGCCGAGATTTACATGGCCAACTTCTGGTGATGAAGATGGCAGAAGAAGTCCAGATTTAACTAGAGGAGTAAAGAGTAGACATCATGCTCCAGAGAGTACTGAGAGTGAAAGCGAAGCGGAGTCTCCACGCGAAACTGGTGGCAGCACAGATTCTCCTACACCAACAAATAGCGTAATTCAAGAGAGGAACGACGGTATGCTGGGAGGTGAAACAATTCTGGATTCTGTTTCTGGAGGTTGGCAAGGCTTATTGGTTTCCGAAGAGCAAAGACAGCTATTAGGCACTGAAGAGGAGAGCTCGGAACGTCATAGCAGCGACGAAGGTGACGGTGAGGGTGACGGTTCGGGTTTCCCACCGGAAGAAGTGTGGATTATCAGCGACGAACAACGTGATTATTATGCGGCGCAATTTGCACAGTTGCAGCCTGATCCGGAAGGTCTCCTGGCCGGACCTGTGGCCAGAACATTTTTCGAAAAATCGCGGCTTCCCGTTTCTGAGTTACGACGTATTTGGCAGCTCGCGGATGTTACGAGAGACGGAGCGCTCAGTTTACAAGAATTCTATGTGGCTATGCATCTCGTCGTACTGAGGAGGAACCACGTGCCTCTACCCGACGTTTTACCTCCGTCCTTGTCAATTCCGTTAGTCATGCAAACAGCAACAACTGCCGCGCCACAAATCCCACCGGTGACAACTGCTCAAAAATCGCCGCCGAACTCTGCGAACGCTCGTGAGAAGAATAGAGAGTGGACAAAATTCGTAGATTCACCGACCGGAGCGAGCAGCTCTTCGGTCACCAGTCCAGGACTGCAATTGGTGAATTTTGATTTTCAAAAGTCAGCTGTCGAACGCGATCCGAAGATTCTACACCCAGTGCCGTTGCGCCTAACACCTGAAGCGGCAATACTCGCTTCGGGCGCTAACGGTAGCAGTAGCAGTTGCACGACTTTAGGAGATGATGATCTGCAACATTCTGCGGCGTCGTTAGTACAACGACCTCTCGCGAAGAAACCTCCCACGGCGCCGGAAGATGCCGTTATTGTGACTCCTAAGAAAGAACCACCACCTCCACCGCCACCCAGACCATACAGAACACATGCGCGCAGTTCTAGTCTTGATCTTAATAAATTAGGTACATATTACTACCAATATTTTACGCGGTACAATATTGCGATTACGAAAATTTCATGTTTTGTAAATTTGCACATTCTTGTAGGAAAAAATGGTCAAAGTTTTCTCGGAGCACCGCCGCTTGTACCACCTAGAATCTCGCCAGGAATTGTAAGTTCTTATACATGATGAAAACTTTTTGCATTTTTTTAATTCTTCTATATATCTTGTAAAAGCTTATATAAAACAGAGATTATAAATATCTGTTTTTTTTTTTTTTTATTTTGCAGACTTCGCCTCGCAAATTGATCGGTCAAAGGAGCGAAGGCGAAGGACAAAGAACGTTGAGCGAAAGTCAAGCTTTTGTCGCTGATTTCTCTCACTTTTCCCCTAAGAGTGAATTGCCTGAGAATATGATACCATCTGTAGAAAACACAGTACCGCAGTCTCAACAATTCACTGGAGTCTGTGGAGCATTTCATATTTATAGAAAACCAAGCCCAAGTAAGAAATTATCTCATTATTTAATTAAGCATTTAGAATTTTCTTTTTATTTTTATATATTTTCATTATTTTTATATTAATAATATATTTATAAGCAAAAATGCATATACTTTATCTTTTTAAAGATTTGAAAATATAAGATGCTTTGAACTATTTTTTCATGTCTTTGATTTTCCTAATTATACTTGACAATTAAAATAATCTTGACAGAACGAGACGGTGGTGATGAAGAAAGTAAGAACGAAGCGGAAGACGAAAAGAAATTAACCTTACAAGAACTAAGGGAAAAGAATGCAGAATTACGCTTAGTCTGCGAAGAATTGACACGTGAACTGGCTAGTGCGCTTCAAGAACGTATAAATCTACGTGCGAAACTCCTGCTCTTGACTTGATGTGATTACTATTCGCTATCATTCATTCGTTCGAAGTTACGAGGTATTATGTATCCTCAAATCATTGTAAACACATGTATTTAATACGTTATGCTAGTCTAGAATTCCTTTTTTCCCAACGAAGTATTCATTTGCATTCATGATGATCAATGTAGACAGATACAACAGGGGATGCGATTTTACAAAAAAATATTACGTAGATATTTTATACTTGAAGTTGAAAGAAGAATGTCTATAAATTATGAATCATGTATATACAACAAAGCTGATTATGATCTTCACATGATTGATATATAACTTACGAATGTTTGCGGATTTACTTTTTTCAAATTTATGAGCTATTGTTAATGTTTACGCTACAGTGTTAAAAAATTTGCCAAGATTTGAAGCTTATTGAACTCCCCTGTGATTTATTGACTTATATGTTATGTTTCGCATATAAACTCCCCTTTTCATCACCATGAACTTATGTATATCTTCATAAGCATGCCATGTAAGTGCATTACGTTCTTACTTTATTTCAGTACAGATATCTAAAACTTTCGATCGTGTGCAAAAAGATTTATTAATCTTATGAAAATTATTTCTATTTTTGTACCCCTCTGTTTATATTGATGAATCTCTTTTAAAGACCTTGTTCACCACAAATGGAATTGTTTTGAACTTTGAATTAGCTGCATTGTAAAAATGAATTATTATTAATATGTATTTGTTTGCGAAACAAAATCGAATTATATTTTCGTATGGCTATATAAAACTATCACAAAAAAATGACGTCAACGGAGAAATGCGATAATTAGAACTGTTATGAAGTTATACTTTATTCCGTGATAACAAGTGTACCTATAAAATACCTGTTAAATATTGAAGAAAGATATACGAGAAGAGTGGAATCTGCAGGAACAGAATACTTCGAAAATAAATTTATATAGATGTATAATGCTCAGAATCAATTCACGTTGAATATGTCGATTTTACTATACCAATTCTTTGAAATAATTATCGATTTCTATTATTGTAGATGTAAAGGTTTAGATACTGTAGTTGGTGCAAATTAAAGCCTGAGAAAAATATAGACTTATCAAAGCCACATTAGCAACAAAAAGACAATTAATAGCAATTTCACATTCCTTTTAGCTAGTTATATGTAGAAACTTTCTAACAGTAGCAATTGCTCAATATACATAAAATTGTTTTATAATAGCAAAAATTACTATTATTTAAATAATATTTAAATTATATTTAAGTAATTAAAATAAATTTTTAAATTCTTGCTTTTTCATAAAATTTAAATCTTCGTGGCTCAGTTCTATATAAGTCTCAGGCGTTTTACTTCTAAATTGCCATCTTTATTCAATCAAATATATATGATTCGTGATCAACGTTAAGATTATCACGTTTTTAAATATTTTTACTTTATTTCCCTACAAAACAGTGAATAAAATTGCCAAGTGATTCATCGTTGTTAAACTAATTAATAACTTTTTGTGCCATATAACGCGAAATTTTAAAGCACATATTGTCGTCAATATTCGACAGTATCTGAGTGAGTTGTCAAATATCACAAGACTACTTAGACGTAAAAGCTTGGAAAATCAACAAGTCATGCGAAAAATTTTTGTAATTATATAGATATTGTGTAAAAATTATATAAAATTAATACTTATATCAGAATTATTTTTCTCTGATTTATCTGCAGTCCTGTAAAAAAAAAATGTAACGATGTAGAAAATATATATACAGAAGTATTTATCAAATGCGAATAAAAAAAATTACTTTAGTTTCATAACAATTTTTATTCATTATATGAATGAAAAAATGTTAATCATGCAGAAGAAAAAAGTTACAAATACTTGAAACGTATCTCTTGAATATGAATAAATGAATGATGAAATTCGAGAATATACGCTTGCAATTCTATACAAGTAAAACTTCCGTACACGTAGTGATATACTGTGACGAAATTCAATGAATAAAATCACGCTCGACAGCAAATTTGGTACAACAGAATTTGGCTATATAATCCTACTGTCATACACTTCTGATTTTACGTGACTTCGCGATTACATAAGCTCTGTTGCATAACATTTCAGTTACAATATCCACATTTACAAATCTGTTTCGTTGGCAAATCGATTCTAATAGTAACAAGATAAATATGTAGATTTTTAAAAATGAACACTAGAGCCTGCCTTTCGTATTTCAATCAACGACAGAAAGATATTGTTTTATCTATGATTTCATTAACTGTGTGAGAAAGAGAATGTATGCTAACATTCTTGGGCTATCCGATTTCTGCTAAAAGTTAATAACGCTGATTAATACAGAATATTTCTTACAGCAGTTTTTTTTACAGTAATATGCTCCATACAATGATTATACGCAGTACAGCGATACCGGAGCTAAGAGGACACGGATGAACAATCGACTTCTGCAGATCATTTAGTTATCTTTAGTCTGCATGAACTTGATCAAATCGATGACTCGGCTAGAGTAACCGAACTCGTTGTCGTACCACGAAATCAGTTTTACGAAATTGTCATTCAAGGGTATGCCAGCTTTGGCGTCGAAAATGCTGGAGTGATTGTCGCCGATGAAATCAGACGAGACAACGTCGTCTTCGGTGTAACCTAGGATACCCTTCAAAGGACCGTCGGCAGCCTCCTTCACTTTGGCTTTGATAGCCTCGTAAGAAGCGGGCTTGGCGAGTCGAACCGTCAAGTCGACTACGGACACGTTATGCACTGGCACGCGGAAGGCCATACCGGTAAGCTTTCCATTGAGGGCGGGAATGACCTTACCAACTGCCTTGGCAGCTCCAGTTGCAGCGGGAATAATGTTCTGTGCTGCACCACGGCCGTCACGCCACAACTGTTACCGGAAAAACATAATAAACGATGTTATATAACGACAGTAATTTTAATCTTGAATAATTTTTCTCAATTATGTATCTTATTACGTACTTTGCCGGAAGGTCCGTCGACGGTTTTCTGGGTGGCCGTAATTGCGTGTACGGTCGTCATGAGACCCTCGATAATCTCGAAGTTGTCATGGACTACTTTGGCAAGAGGTGCCAAGCAATTGGTAGTGCACGAGGCATTGGAAACGATCTTGTAGCTCGGATCGTAAGCTTCCAAGTTTACACCGACGACGAACATTGGTGCGTCAGCCGAAGGAGCAGAGATGATGACTTTCTTGGCACCGCCTTCCAAGTGAGCCTGAAAATGCACGAAAGGACATTGAATATTAAAATATCGGAAGATTTCGATGGAATTAAATAGGAAATCTTGTTTTGATTTCACATACAGATGCCTTCTCGATGGTTGTGAATACGCCGGTCGATTCAACAATGTACTCGGCACCGGCCTTCGCCCATGGGATCGCTTTGGGTTCGCGTTCGCTGAAGACGGCAATCTTATTTCCATTGACAACAAGGCAATTGTCCTCAGACCTGACCTCACCCTTGAATTTACCATGAGTGGAATCATATTTGAACATGTAAACCATGTAATCGAGACCGATGAACGGGTCATTGATGGCGACGACCTGGTTGACAGAGAATACGAATTAATAAAATAAATGCGGTCGCGATTGATGAGTCATAGCTCTCTTTTTAACATACCTGACCACCGCGCTCCAGGGCAGCCCTCAGCACGAGACGACCGATACGGCCAAATCCATTAATTCCGATTTTGCTCATGTTGTCTTCTTGATTGCAACTGGAAAATCGAGAGACAAGAATATTACAAAGCGCTCCGCAACGGTCGCGTGTTCTCCATCTGATTGTTGTACGCGAAACCGGTGTGATAAGATGAAATAGGTGCGAGAGATTAAATCTCATCGTGACAAGTATTGTAATAATAAATTATTGGACATTTTAGGTTAGAACATGAATAGTATGAGTACGACGTACGATAGTACATACATCATTTATATCCCCGCTATTTTCAGAATATTAATCGCTCTTTCAAGGATGTTGGTATCGCGTGAAAATTGGTACTATTGATATTTATTATCTGTTATCACGTAGCACTTAAAACCATCAATTGTGCTTAATTGTATTACATGATATGTACATACATGATATTCTAATTTGAATAATTTAATCCCTTTTTTATTCATGATATAAATCATTTGTACAATCCAATGTCAGAATATCAGAACATTACTAACTGTTCCAGTTTGACATTTTTGATTTTTGTGAGAATTTTTAAATTAGGTCGCAAAAAATCGTAAATTCATAATTAATTCTATGTTACTTTTTTCTTATTTATTCTATTTATGTATATAATTTCTAAGATTCTTCAAATATATAGATAAGAAAATCCCTTGGTATATATTGGACGTCTATCTAACATCTATTTTTTGCTATGCGAGAGAATATATATAAACTAAAATTTTTTTTGTATATTTATTGCTAAAAATATAATAAAATTATAATAAATGTCACAAAATTATCAGGCGGAATCTGCGAGTGCTTATGTAATTTCGAGTGCGAATAACCATTATTCAGTCTTGAATTTGTCTTTGAAGCAGTTTTGTTTGTGGTGGCAATATCTTGGCACATGCCTCGGTGGCACGACGTGCAATTGGGCATCGGCGAATCTTATAGGTCAAGCAAGGTTAAACGGAGGTGTGTCCAAGTTCTTCGACATCCCGATGTCCCTGAGAATGATCGTGACCTCGCATGCGTGGGATTATCGGATCAGCGCTCGATAAAACTGATAACGTAAATTACGGATGCAACCGCGTTCCGATCTCACGTAATTTGCATCGAGAAATTCGGATTTTTGACAATATCGAACAAGCTTCAATTATCAACTTATCGTGCGATATATTTAACACGGATAAAATTCATTCATTTCTTGTTTTTCGATATAAAGAAAAAAAAATTAAAACAAGGATATGGATAATTAAAAATTCTGCCGGTATGTGCCGGTTGATTGAGTCCATCTACGAAGTTACTCGAAGTTTGATCGAAATCTACCTTATTTGTTATCATCATGCGTGTAGATGAAGGCGAGAAATATTGCGATATTTACAATTTTATGCTATTAAAATGCTTTTTACGACAGAAGCGCGATCTATCTTTATGGTTAACATATTTTAATAATTTTATTTTGTTCTGGTTTTGTTATCTGAAGAACAAAATTAGAATGACTTTGTATTTATTTATATAAGTTGTATTTATTTATATAAATCATAGACAATTATTTATCTAGTACAGCATTTATTAGTTCAGCAATTTATTGCTTTTAGGCAACTCTTTAAGATGCAAAATTGCGATAATTTGCGATTTAAAATATTTTAAAATTTTTCTTTTAAATATTTGAAATATAAATCACTGATTAGATAAAATATAACTAGAAATAAATGAAGACTATTAATCGTAGGAAATAATTATCATATAATATTTAATAAATGTATTCAATATAAAATAAAAATCATGGTGTAAGATTTAATCAAAATCGTGCAACAATCGATGATGATACAATGTACATTACGTACATAATAATAATTTTGTAAGATCATCTATATAGCCAATCAAAGGACAGTTTTTCAAAATCGTAACAATCTTGGAGATAAAATTAGACCGAAATAAAATGAAGACCGATCTGATTTACAATATTCTATCCGTAATAGATATATCGTGGAGAATGTTTCATCTTGTAATATCGCGATTAAATATGGTCCATCGCTAGAACAATCGCTAATCGTTAAGCAATAAATTGATCGCGTGAGGATTTAACGATCGCCATCCGCGTCATCCAACGAAGAAACTCCATCGAACCCACAACGAAACGTCCGGAGTTAGGACTACCGGGTGTCGCACGGTCGTTACATCATCCCGTCGATTTTATTATTTTACGTTTTTCGAACTTCCTCCTGCAAAAGTATAGCGGCCGGAAATCATTCTATCGTGACTATCGTGGCTATCGTGACGAGAGCTACTGGTCCAGTCGACGTCACACGAGAATGGCCGGTGCGGCGTATGCCGCGGGATGCAGACGCGATTCGCAGCCATCCCGGCAAAGACCGATCCCGCAAAGGAGAAACAAACGATCAGTAACGGATGATATTGATGACGGTTCACTCGGGAGCAAAAAGAGCGAGAGAGTAAAAAATGGGGTTACATGTCAAATTGAAGAGATACTGTTACTCACGTAAGAATCAACTCCGTCCACTGCGGTTACTAACGAAGTAGTGTCATTTGAAGGGCACGGACGTGATAATATATGAAATGGCAGTTCGTGCTTCGTCGGCGGGGCTCGGCGGATCACGTGATTGAATTATCGATTGTCGACATATTTATGCCGCGAAATTCAATCGAATTCTCGTCGATCTTGAACGATATTTAATTCTTTCGATTTATTCGAATTTGTGTTAAATGAAAATAAAATGTTTTTAGACAAAGTTACAATGTTACAATCGATAGAACAGATTTGTAAATTACATCAAAATTCTCTCCTTTTGCTTTGATAATGACTAATTAAATATCTAGAAGTGAATTATGTTCTTTCGTTCTTGAATAGATCGTTCAATTTAAAATTTATAACTATTTATTGATTACTGAAGCGAAAGAGAAGTTTTCAGTATATTTTACGAATCTGTTCTATCAATTGTAAATACTGTCTTACATTGAAAAATATTTATAATTTAATATATTTTGCAAGAATTTATTGTATTTTTAATGTAATCGATTTAGATAATTGCAATCAGCTTTAATCAAATGAAAAATATGAAAGTAAAAATAATAAAATTTAGAAATAATAGAAAATATATATATTGTACATATAAAATATTATAAAAGTTCATTATCAAATACATCTTTTGAACATGATAACTTTTTTTTTCATATTATAATTGTGTAAATTATAAGATGCATATTCGCGAAGATTCGTGAAAATGGAATACATGTTCACATGCATATTCAAATTTTTAAAGGTAAATTGTTTTTAATCATCATGTTCGATAGCTTGTCCAGTTACAGGAACATTACCGGAATCAGCTTTATACATATATTCAACCAGATCGATTATACGATGTGCATAACCATATTCATTGTCATACCTGAAGAAAGCAAAATTTTCAAAATAAAATGGATGTTATAATTTTAGTACGATTACCGAAATTATATTTTTGATTTGTATATTACAAATCGGACATAGGTTGCGCATTTTGGATATCATAAATTTTATATCGGGATTTATAAATCGTGTTTTATGATATTATTACCAAGCGACGATTTTGATGAAAGTACTGGTTAGTGGAATGCCCGCCTTGGCGTCAAACACGCAAGAATAAGTCGTGTGATTAAAGTCCGACGACACGCAGTCGTCCTCCGTGTATCCCAGCACGTCTTTCAGTTGCCCCTCGGATGCTTTTCTCATCGTCTCTTTCACTTCTTCGTACGTCGCCGGTTTATTGATCCTGAAGCAGGAGAGATCAGAGACGCTTTTAGCGGCACGCACAAAAATATCGAACGGAGCTAATAGCAGACATGATCATCTAATTTCGATAAGACGTAAATTTTACGTTTAATCTAACTTCGATAAAATAAAAACAAAATCGTTTAGTTGTCTCACATGAAATAGAGTGCGCTTTTATATTAAATTAATAATTAAAGTAATAACTGAAACGTTAGACATTGCCCTTGCCGGATTTTACGGGTCAGTTGTCTGGTGAACTCATTGGCGAGTCTACATCCGCCAATTACCTGAATGTCATATCGCATAATGAAACGTTAGGGATCGGTACCCTGAACGCTATGGCTGAAATCTTGCCTTTCAGCTCGGGGATAATTTTGGCTAATGACTTGGCTGCGCCGGTTGCGGTCGGAATAATATTCTGGAGAGAACCTCTACCGTCCCTCCACAATGCCGTAGGTCGAAGCTGCAGTAAAATATAATCGCGTAAAAAGTATGAAATTTCTAATAATATAATAATATAACTTTTAACAATTATTTACAATCCCTTCGAAGCGTGAAGCTGCGTAAGCATGTATAAATAATTAAAAAAGACAGAGATACATTCCACCCAATATTGGATACATTGCACCCAATATTAGTTTAACAATATGAAAGAGAGGTCAAGAAGAGAAAAGAGAGATCAGAGAAGGCATTACTTGATGGACTAATAAAAAGATTTTGAACATCTTATAATTCTTTTTATCGAATTTATATCTATAAATTTGGAACAATTGCTATTACAAACAATATAAATTTCTCTTTTATTTTTTACAACGCTTGTTGTTAAATAAAAAAAAAAGAAAGAAAGCATAATAAGCGAAGACTTATTTGACGTTCTAGATAGACAAATGGTAAAATTGTAAGAAACCTTCTCTATTGGACCATCCAGAGTATTTTGTGTTGCTGTCACTGCGTGTATGCTAGTTATCATCGCTTCGAGAACTTCAAAGTTATCGTGCATAATTTTCACAATTGGAGCTGAACAGTTTGTAGTACAGGATGTAGCAGAAATAACTTTGTCTTTCTTGGGATTGTAACAAGTGTGATTGACTCCAAAAACAAGCATCGGTACATCAATTGATGGTGCAGTAATGATAACTTTTTTTGCGCCGCCATCGATATGCAACTATAATGATTTGTTATCATTAAGTTTGAATTACAAATATATCCATTAATGTAGCTTTAACTATTGTATGCTATAAAGAATGATTTAAAGCAATAAATATTAATAATAATATAGTAACTTCTAAAAAAAAAATCAGTTTTTTTCTTTTGTTTCCGAATTTTTGATAAACCAGCAGTTCTTCTTACTTAACAATCCTATTGCAATAAAAAATATAAATTTATAATCTTACGCTTGATTTTTCCAAAGTTGTAAGTACTCCACTAGCTTCTATTACATATATCACTCCCATTTTCTTCCACGGTATTTTCCATGGTTGTTTTTCTTGTGACGTTGCTATTCTTATCTCTCATTAAATATGATCAACAATAAATACATTGATGAATATTTATTGCATAAAATAATTTTTGTATATCATACTTTTAAATGTTAAGTAAAATGAAAAATAACCATATAAAGAAAGTTAATAAAACGCAAAAATTTTTTTCAAAAGAAACTATGTACGCATATTTTCGATTTCATTTCTACATTGTGTTGTTTCATAAAATATAAAAATTAAAATCTTACTTTAACGAACTTAACTATATTTTAGCAACACAAAATTTTGCAAAATAAAATAACTTTTGAATTACTTAATATTTCTTTTTAATTTATCTTTTTAAATATGAAAATTAAAATTGTATTTACCATCATTAATTATAAATTCATTTTCATACTCCAGAGATAAAGGATGCGGTCCGTGAGTAGAATCGTGTTTAAAAAGGTATACCATATATTCGGTTGTGAGGAATGGATCGTTAATTAATTTTACCTATAGCATTTATTATTATATTATGATCATTTTTAATTATATATTTAATTATATTATATTCATATTTATATTTTTTAAATAAACAAAAACTTGCTTCAATGCGCTTTTCGAGGCAAGCTCGAAGACACATTCTTCCTATTCTTCCAAATCCATTAATTCCTACCACTGCCATAATTTTCTTATTTCAATCTTGTAATTCTTAACCAAAACATAAGGAAAGAATTCAAGAATCTTGTATAATATTTTGTCAAACGGTCAATAGCGTGAAGCTTATTATAAATTTATATAAAATTTTCTAGAGAACAATGTCTTGAAGTTGTATACATATATAAAAAATGTGAACTGTAAAGAATAAAGTGTTTATAAAATAGTTATAAAGTTTCTTTATTAAACAAGATTCATATATAATACTATAATTTTCTTTTATATAATCTACTTGTCAAATAGGATTTTATATATATTGTTTTTTTTAACAGAACTAGGGTATTTTACAACGAGTCGTAAAAGCGGTTGCAGTAATGTTTGTCGCGACAGCCAATCAAAAGCGTCCAATAGTTACTATTGAATATTTTTATAAGCATTTCGATTACGACTTATTATTAGAATATCCTTAAAAACCGATAAGCCTATTTTTTGTAATTCAACTTCTTGCATGATTAATCTTTCCTTTTTTCTCTCCATGTTAAAAAAAAGAGAGAAAAAAGTTAGCAGTGCGAGAAGTTCAGTTAAAAAAAATAGACCTTGAATACCGGTTTATGATTGCTCTATAATTGGTCAATTTCGTATGACTTCAAGCTTACTATATATGTGAAACAGAGATTCAATGGATAATTAATCGGCTAAAGTAGATATTTTGATAGATGGATTGGATAATTTCTGAGAGCATTGGAACAGGTCAAATTGATTTGAATGGACATATCATGGAATTGAACAAATGGGACGCTCCTTATGATTCTCATGTCAATGAGAGAAATTATTCTCTACGTATATCTTCATATTCTGTGATCCACGTTTAACGGCCGTTCCGTTGGTTCTATCGATTCTTCGTTCCCGCATTTACTGTTTACGTGACGTGGTGGCGACGGCGGCGGCAGTGGTAGATGACAGGAACAGCCGGTCGTCTTTGAATCCAAGCCAAGCTAGAAATTGTCTTCGATCATCATCGATTTTCGTGCGTCCAATTTTCATCATGTTACAATCTATATTCGACGATGTACGGCGTATGAACAAGCGCCAGGTAAATCATTTTTCGTTACGATCGTCACCATCACCATTCGACGATCGGTGGTAATCGCATATGGTGGCCATGTACGACTATCCTTTGATTTTCAGTTTCTGTATCAAGTGCTGAGCTTTGGCATGATAGTTTCATCAGCGCTGATGATATGGAAAGGCCTGATGGTTGTCACTGGTAGCGAGAGTCCTATCGTGGTCGTATTGAGGTATTGAGGAGCATACCTAACCTAACTTAAACGTCGACGAATAACATTTGACAGATTAGAATTGACTTAGCATATATGCCAATTTCTTTCAGTGGTAGTATGGAGCCTGCGTTTCACAGAGGGGACTTGCTATTCCTCACCAATTATCAGGACGAGCCAGTGAGAGTAGGAGAGATTGTTGTTTTCAAAGTTGAGGGTAGAGACATACCCATTGTGCATCGAGTACTTAAACTCCATGAGAAGTAAGAGCTCTTGCAACATATCCTGTTAAGGTACCATGTAAGACGCAAATATTCTAGAGACAATTTGCAAAAATGTATAAAATTTTCAGGGGTGACCAAAATAATACGGTCAAGTTCCTTACGAAAGGTGACAACAATTCTGTAGATGATCGAGGTCTGTATGCCCCTGGTCAGCTTTGGTTGACACACAAAGACGTGGTCGGCCGAGCGAGAGGCTTCCTACCATATGTTGGCATGGTCACCATATACATGAATGAATATCCTAAGTTTAAATATGCAGTATTAGCATGTCTTGGGCTGTATGTTTTGGTACATAGAGAATAAAGTTGCTTGATAATTGAATGAATTGAAGTTAAAACGTTACGTTGCGATAATTCATCATTGATTATCTCTAAAAAGGGGGTCACCAATCTTTCATGTAAAAAATATATGCAATGGAATCATATATCGTGTACATACATATATCACTAAATTTGTACTTTGTTAGAAACGTTTAGGTCAAAATCCATTTCTCTGTACATACATTCGCGTATTCGATAGTTTGAAGTTGAATATGAAATTTTGTTGGAATTAGAAATCATAGAATAGATTTATATTAAATATTTTATTTTATTTTTTAAGATATATTTGAAGTTTAGTACTTACTGAAAGATAAGCATAGATAATAATATATTATAAGATTTAGTGATCTTTATTTTAAACAGATATTTCATTAGAATGGCGATTACAAAAAGCATTATCTTTAGCTAAACATTGTACGCGTGCCGTAAATATCTAAGATTTTAATCTAAAAGGTATTAAGTCCAAAAAAACATAAAAAAGTTAAAAGAGATTCTTTAAGCATTTTCAGTCTGTTCTTATGTTTGTTTGTCGAATAGTAACATTATGATCCATAAAAATAATACTATATCGGATCCGGACATAATACATTTTACGATACACATTATTTATATATATTAGATAAAACAGTCATTAATTCTTTTTCGCTTTGATTTGATAAAAACATGGCGACATATCCTAAAATCTAAATAAACAAAAAACCTATTTAGATTATTGTGTGATGAACAAATTGATAAAAAAAATGAAAGCTGTGAACCAAGTGCGGTATTTTAAATGATAATTTATTATATTGATAGACATTTTCTTCGCGAATATTCGTGAACTAAAGAATTTGTGCATCAATCTTAAGAGACGCATTATAATTATTCCTATCTCATGTATGAAATAAATTTGTAATATTTGGGTACAATATTATAAATACTTTTTTTTCTAATTGGCTTGATAATTATTTCGACTATAAATTCTGTATTGTATATTTCGCAAAATTAATTTCACAATTTCAGCAACTGGGAGCAGACAATAAGATTAATATATCTTTCATTATATTTTATCAACATATTTATCGAACTAAATTATTCCTTATTTAATTAAAAGCGATGACTCATAACGTAAATATTATGTCTGATATTACAAATTAGTATGTTAAATTATAATATAATTATTTATTGTTAATAATTGTAATCGATTGTTAAGATAGGAAATATTCTTACTGATTTCATTATCATATTATCATAATATTACAAAATATCAACGTAATTCTAAGCGTATCCACAATTCTTTAGGAATGACGGTAAGACCTGGTACCTTATCCTCGAGGCTTGATGGTTCACCTTCAACGAAAAAGAAGTTAAAGTTCTGTAGTAACAGAGCTAGTGTACCAAAAAAATTGTATCTTGCATAAGTTTCTCCTGCACATAATCGATGACCTATAACAGAACACAGAGATAAGATAAAATTATCAAGTTTGAAAAATTTATCAAAATGTAATTATTTGTATATCACCGAAACCGAAAGGAAGCGTAATATCTTTGATTAATTGCCCATCCTCTTTCAGAAATCTTTCCGGTCTGAAATTTTCAGGATCACCCCATACATCCGGATCATGATGCATCGCCGCTAAATTAGTGAAAATTGGTGTGTTTATTGGTATCTTGTAACCACTTAATGTAGTGTTTTTCACAGTTCTATGAATTACGCTGAGAGGCGTGATTGTTTCAATTCTCATCGTTTCTCGTATTATTGCCTCCAAGTATGGCAAACTAAAACAAAATGAAAATATTTTGAATAACTTTTGAAAATCAAAATCAAATTTTTTTGATGTTTTATAAAGTTAAAGATAATTTATCACAAATTATTAATTTTCAGCTGATGGCGAAATGACGAAATGTTAATACACAACTCGATATATGTGATAAAACTTTTAAGACTGATAAGACTTTTATCAATATTCTTAGTATGTTTCGAATTATTCTCTCTTTTTAAGCACAATGACTTACTCTTTTCTATCATCCCACGTGATCAATCGTCCAGTTCCAACAACGTTATCTATTTCGTTTTGTACTTTCTTCATAACTCTAGGATTATGCATCAAATATTTGATAGCATGAGTAATAACTCCTGGTAACGCAGAAAAAGCGGGGAACATCATATCAATTAGCAAAATGATCATTTGTTCTTTCGTAAAAGTATCTGATTTTTTATCATCGTTCAATTTTTTTAGATATATATCGGCGAATCCCTGATCAATATTCTCGCTGAGAATAGTTTGTTGATATTCTAAATACTTCTACAAAATAAATATCATTCGAATCCTTTCTTTTATATTCATATTTCACGTTTATTAATTCTATTAAGATTTAAAATTGTTTTAAATCAAAGTAAATACTTGATATTCATATAGAATGGCTAGATTTAAGATTTATTTTTAAAAATCTAGCTTATGCTATATTTTCTCAATTGGATACAAAAAATTTAATTTTAATTCTAAACAATCCGATAAATCATTACGTTCATTATTTAAAGTAAAATTTTTAGAACATAGATTAAAAAAAGACATATTAATTTACACATAATAATTTTAAGTACAATTAAGCACACATTTGGCAAGTCAATGTATCGATGTTACGTCAGAAATTAATTTGGACATAATTATTTGACAAACAGTTTACCTTAACAATAGCCGTCATCGTATTGCTTCCGTTTATATGGTCTTTGTATCCGAACATATTACCAAAGTGTTTCAAGAATGGCATCTGGAAAATGGCACCGCCAGTTGTATCATTTCCTCTTTGCATCTTCACAGCCGCACGACAGAGTTGTCGCGAAATATCATGTTCGCTTCTATCGAATCTGTAGCCGAACATAACATTCCATATATTGTTAGCTGACGATGCATACAAAATGTCCGGAAAGAATGCCAAGTTGCCTTTTAATATCTCCTACAAATAATGAAAAAGTTTTTTCTTTCTTTTCATTAAAAGATTTTTATGCATTTTACAATAATCGCATACCTTTTCTCCTTCGTAAATGGGCCCGTTTTTCAAAATGTCGATGAGTAGAGACATTTCATCCATGATCTCGGTCTCGAGCTTTTCCTGGCGTCGACCAAATCCGAAATCGCGCATATAACGAAGGGCGAATCTCCTCTGTTCGTGCCATTTCAAGCCGTCGATGAAAAATATACCTGTGTATGTCATTTTATAATAGTTATTTATCATTCTATTATAAAAGAAGTTTTAATTATCGTGCAAATCTTAATTTCGACAAGAAATAAAAAGATGTCTTTCACACAGAAATATATCGCCTATTGAAAAATGAATATATATATAATTGTGTTCTTCATTACCTAAATTCTTTCCGAAAGCTCGATCTCTAATAGTTTGCACGCTAACTCGGCCATCAAATTCCTCTCTTGCGAGTACTTCCTTTATGTTCTGGTAATCGTTGACTATTATCACGAAGTCATTACCCATGTAGCAGCTAATAATTTTTGACTTCAATTTCTTCACATAATAGTCAATGGTCAAGTACGGAAATTTGTAGTTTCCCCATAACAACAACCAGTAAGCTCCTCCTATTGGAAGTCTGATAATACCTATCTCAGAAAAAGTCCATACATATAAAAATTATTAATTATTAATTTAATACGATCAATATAAATCGGATTTCGCTTAACAAGATCATTTAGATTTTGTTAGGCAGAATTTTATTTATATCACAGAAATATTTATGGAATAAAATATGAAATATACAATATATAATAGATAAAATAGATTCGATATTCATTCAGTTTTGAAAAAAGAAACTGAAAGAAGTTAAAATTAAAAAAGAAAAATAGTTAAACAAAAGTTTACAAAAGAATATTTTTAAATTTAACATTACCTGGAGGTGTATCAGGCGGTTTGTCATAAGCAAATCTGTATAGTTTATATGTCACAAGAAGCAGAAATATCACAAACAAAAGCAGCGACATGACTTGAACGAGTCATAAATACAAATGAATGAATTCATGAATCTATCTATTTTAAGAAGAGTCAGATTGTATAATCAGAAGCACAAGTGAGAAGCAGAGATATGAATTTCCAGATATGATTTGTTCTTAATTTCTTACTTAGTATTAAATTACTGTCAAACACTGGTCAATATTAAAACAGAACTCGAAGTAATCTCTTTGGACTTGTAACAAAAAAAAAAAATAAGAAAAAAATAGATGTTTACTACTAGCAAACATCTTATTTTGCAATACGAATACGTCTTCTGCATTTCGCGTAAGACGTATCTGTTGACCTCTGACATTTATTGGAGAATATATGATTGATTTATTGTGGAAAAATTACATCTGATTAATAATCTAAGTATACATATTATAGTAATAATAAGACGTAATAAAGTAACGTAGGAATTAGAATCAAATAATTATAGATAATTATAGATATTATACATCAGGACATAAACGTTTCAATAATTATCTTTTGTAAAAGACATATATAATAATATATAAAAGATAGATAAAAAGAAAAATATAAATATCATGTATTATGTCGAAAATAAATATTTCCATTAAGTAATTAAATTTTGAAAAACAGGTTAAAATCTAGAAATATACATAGCATAAAACTATAGAATACAGATGTAGAAAGATCCAAATGAATATACTCTACAGTAATAAGTCAAATTTTACAAAAAAAGAAAATATATAAAAGAAATATATTTGCTTTTTTCTATTTTTTAAAATTCATTCTCACATGTGTAATTTTATATTTATATTTTAATTTTATATTTATATTTTTTTAATTTTATATTTATTATTTCAACAATCGTATCTACAAAACTAATAGCAGATTAATTAAAACTTGCATTCCACAATTAAGCAATAGTTTCTTTAATTGCAGTTTTTTTTTAATATAATTTTTTTTTATAATTTATAAAAGATAGTTTATGTTTTGGAGATTCAGAAAAAAATAAAATGCAAAAAAATATATTAAATAATTCAATTATATACAAGTCAATATTTATATATTGAGTTTTATATCTAAAACATTGTATGCGTACGTAATCGTCTAGGAAGTCGAGCTTTTCTTTGACAATTATATATTGTAAAGAATAAATAATTAAAATAATCGTATTCTAACGAAAACGTTTATTTTACAAATAACTGTATATTGTTGTCTTTACATCAGAAATAAAATATTTAAGTATCTATTGCATTTTCTCTGTACTACATACAGAGAGAATTACATGATGATATAATATTTCTATCAGCGCATTCACATATATTATATAGAGTATATTAATATACATATATACATATATATGGTGTTCCGTAATATTATGGTGTTACAACCAGGAAGGAGATCCTACATGCAAAAATAAGTTGAAAAAATAAATTTTTTTTTATGAAGTTTTGTCTTCAAAAGTGGATTTCAAATATCTACTAGATATCGTGTACATCAAAATTTGTTAACGAATATCTGTAGACCATTATCTCTTCTCATGTTTATATTTACAAAGAGATATAGAGGATATACGTATTTCTCAGAAAAAGTTTAATTTTTCAATAAATACATGTCGCATCATAATTTTGTGAATATTCTGTTTTATTGTGTCCTTTTAATTCATACAATAAACACAAATTGAGCAGAAGTAGAAATGTAAACATGGGCAGAATAGAAATAGAATCTACAGCGAGATTCGTTAAATACAAACGTAGCGAATATTTAAAATCAATTTTTCGAAATCAATCTTTATATGAAAAAATTTTATTCTACTTTTTCGACTTATATTACAGACGTGCGCTCCTTGCGCACTATTTCTTTTCTTGTACTAGATTCAATTAAATATAAAATTTAAATAAATTCTATCAATTTGTATCGTAAATTATGCACACGTTTGTATTACTTAATAGTTGAATAACTATTGAATATGATATGAAGAAAATTACATACACGTACATCTTCAATATTTAATTGGTCATACAATACTTCAAAGAAAATATGATAGAATCACCTCTTTGCTGGTTGTATCGATTACAAAACACTCTGTATACATGTATGTACATATAATATATTGTATGTGTGTATGCTGTGTGTATACATTGAGTATATCTTAAGTATTGTCTATTTTAAGAAAATTAATTTATGAAATCATTTTTTGAAGAAAAATATTTATATCAACATAATCTTGTTTTGCAAATATAGGATGTTTCAAATAATTTTTTCTAATAGCTCCTTAATTAATAGTTTTATCAAAAATGATTAAAAATACCTTTTTGTAAATAATTAATATATAAAATTTAATTAATATTAAAAATAAAGATTTGCAAAGATTTGATTTCGTTCCATTTGATGTATAATAATTCATTATTTAAATTTGCTCTATCATTGACTTTTTGCAAATGACTAATGGTTAAAAATAAAGATAATACTTCACTTATTTATTAGAATTTATCAGAATTAAAAAAAAACTTTTTATTTAGAAACTATTAAGGAAAAATGATTATATAACACTTTTATCATTTTATATCTCAAGACTTTTGTTTTTGT